TGGACGGCTTGGAGCATCATTTATGTTCCGGCGAGGCTTTACGTCAGTCCCGATATACCCGATCGGCGATACCCGAGTCAGCTTCGGCACGCCACATCGTGATACAAAGGGCCGTGCCATCGTCAGCACTAGACGCGATTGAAGCTTTCTGGAGCTAGGTCTCGTTGAAATCAAGCTTTTTGCTGTTCCACCGCTTGGATTTGGGCTGCGGTGTTACTTACCTAGAATGACGCGGCCTGTTGATCATGAATAACCCCAAGGTTGTAGCACTTTGTTCATCTGTGAAGTGTTCCGTCATTTCACGAACCTGTGAGGAGTACCAAAGCGAAAGCCTGAGCAACGATACGTGCTGCTACCTATTATTGGATGACCCCTTTTCCTTCGTAGGAAAGCATGGATCAAGACAATATCTAGAACAGTCTACAGCGCTCCACATATTATCCAACCTTTCCAGTTACACAAGACTAGTTCCATGTTTATCATGGTCAGGACTTTCCATATGGTTATATTTCATCCACATAGCCAGTCTATGTTCCGAGTGCCGTTTGAGTGCTGTAATGTTATTGGGCAAAATAAGAATTAGGACCAATATTGCCGGTTGATTGACAGTTAAAAGCTTATAGCATTTCAACGAGACATATCAAGCCAACACACTGAAAAATATCAATTAACTTCAGATTTCCAAAGGCAATATGCACATAGCCTCAACGAAGATAAAGGTCAAAGCAAACACTGCTGTTTTCAGGCGGGGTTCGAACAAAGATCCCGTCTAAAAAAGGTGTCGTTCTCCAGTATCATTTTTCTTTGTTAAACGTGCCACTGGCCCGAAGGTTCAATATGCATGATATATCAATATCAAGAAAGCTGGGTGCGAGGGCTCTTACAGGGTAATCGAGAACATTCAATACTTTATACAAGCATTTGATGGAAGATCAACGTGTTATCATGGAACGCTGCATAAAATTGGTCTATCTACTTAACAAAAGAAACTAAATGATCGAATGGTATCCCCGCTCCCGGTGTATATAAGTGACAGTATTATACAAAAAGAAAGACAAAAAGTAGAAAAACTCATGATGATTGTGGTGCTTCCTTTTCCTTATGCCGATCTCCCAAGTGTATTTGAGTAAATAGCTGGCTGGGGTTCATGTTCGCGAATTGCAGTAGCGCGATTGATCTTCGAACGGGGATGCCTTTGCTCGGTATGCAGATATAAAGTTTCGAAGTAAGCGACTCGTCTGGGCAGAACTTCTTAAAGTATGCTGCTTTGCCTGTCACAGGTACTGACTGGATCATCTGGTTGTAGCCATCCTTCCAGAGCCGTGACACAAGCTTCGATGACCCGGTGACCTCTTGAACCTCGTCGAGGGGCTCGATTCCGAGGCTCATGTAGCCCACGTCGGAAGCTTTGAGCATCTCCATGGCAGTGACAACAAGGAGATCTGAAATTCCTCGTGGTGCATCTTGGGATGCGATGCAAGGATCGAGGTGATATCCTCTCTCTGCGCCAAGTTCTCGTAGTGTTGCTAGTCCGTTGATCTTGCCGTCGCGGTCGGATGTGTATAAGAAGATTGTGGATTCGGGGAGAGAGAATAAATCGTAGACAGTGACGAAAGCTTGTGAGCCATCTCCATGCTTTCGGTTTCGGTCCTCCCTCCAATCGTCATAAAGATGCTGCAGCTGTCGCTCTAGCTCAGGATCTGTCTCATTTACAGCGGGACTATAGAAGTTCACTGTAACACCTCCACGCTTTGGGTCGAGAAGCTGCTTATTCTGGGAGATGATGCGTTTGCCTGCTTGCTTGCGGAGGACCTTGTTGGTTAGAGGGTTGAGGACGGCTTCGTGGCCGAAATGCATCGTCGCCCATCCTTGTTGGTGTGCGTACTTAGCAAACTCCTCGCTAATCCCAACAAATGCAAGTGATAGACCGCGAGCCCAGCGATAACGGCGAAGCTCACTGAACAGTGCTTGGCGATGGAACTCTGAGCACAGAGGATCACCAGCGACGACAACGGTCCGGGCGTGGAGCTTGTAGATCAAAGACCCATAACCCTTCTTGCTCACAAAGACTTTGTACGCTGGGTCAAGGATACCCATGTGAGATGTTTGTGCGTATGATTGGTAGTCGTGTCTGAAAGCTGCCTTTGTGGCCGAGTTGTTGGTGCTGTTCCTTTGGCAGTCTTTCTGTATTTGATGGGGGCATTTTATGTGCGACAGGCTTTTGGCAGCGTCGTAGGTCCTTGAGATGATACCCTCGTCTGGAAGGATGGTGGATGGGGCTGTGGATGCTGATACGATAGAGATGTCTGTCTGGGAGTGTTGGTATGTTGATGAGGATGCGGACTCTACGTCCGAGTACAGCATGTCGTGTCTCTCCATGGTTGAGATGTTGACGTGGAAACAGTCAGGGATTAGAAATGCTTATTTGCAGCAGAGCTGTCGGATAAGGGGATGACTGCCGTCTATAAGGTTAAGTTTTAGGCTGCGAACACAAGTGATGAATGAGAACTGTCGAGTATGAGTTTATGCCTTAATTCTGGATAAACAACAAGCTAAGTGTCAGGGCTATCGTACTTATAAGTCGACCAAGGACGGCACCTGTGTCAGCCCTGGCACCCGGAGCTGCGTCACAAAGTAGCAATTCATGGCTGGGCATTCTCCATCCCGTAACCTCTAAAGAATTAAACTCAGCCCTGCTGTCTCGTAAAACTCGTAAGAGTGAGGCTCAGCCATTCTGCAATCTCAGGGTACGATTCTGGAGGCTTCATTAGCTCGAGGGTTCAGACAATGTTGAAAAGGTACGACCTGGCCAATTAGAGGTCCGGGATGATGTGGTCTTACTTGCCGATTATCCGACGGCATCAACCCAGACTAGACATTATCGCGCGCGGACCCCGTAACTGATCTGCTGAGCTTGCAGGGGATTACGGGGCATCCTACGCTAGCAAGTTGCGCTACTCTTAGGGAGCAAGAAAGCTTCTGACAGTGAACCTAGCTGCCAAAAATTCTGGACCAAGAGGTCCACTAAAACGGCACAGAGCATGCCGTGATTCTTTTGTCTCTTTATGCAGAAGTTAGGTGTTTTCTTACCTCCCCCGGGCTACGTAGCACCCTCGCGCAATGGGACTCAATTCGGGAAAAAGGGCTTTCGGGGTCCTTGAATTGCGTTGCCTTGACGGCATGTGAACTCATTTAATTAATTTTTATGCCTGGAGAGCGGGTAAGCACTGCCCTTTTCTCCGAGATTCATCAGGCTAGCCCAGTCATCTCAATCACGGCTGATGCCTTGGTCTCGACCAAAAGCTCGCCAAACACTTTTGTTTGCCAGCTAAAAAAAGACTCAGCCTCAACGCCAGCACCACTTACTTCATATGGGCCATCAGGGCTGGGTCTGGACCTTTAACACGTCATAAAAGGCTAGCAATGGAACAAAAGAATGTCACATTTCAGTCTCAGAAATCTCCCTAAATGGCCCAACGCCCACTTTCTCACGCCCTTGCCAATGGCTGTAGCGCGTTTTGGACCAACCGGCACTGGACTCCAGTGATTACTACGCGCAACTCCCCATTCTGCTGTGCAAACCTCAATGCAGCGCCTAGCAGACCCAGATAACAAAAGTGCCCATTTCACCATTCACTTCACACCCCTCTGTGATACAAACTTGTCAGTCTCGGTTACAAAAATATTTTATTTATTCCCGACATTACTCAGTCATTGCGTCTTCGATTGAGAACAACAGGAGGATCAACTGTTCTGATACGAGATTGGTGAATGAGCTGGGGTAACGACGTAAGGTAGATACAACCAAGTCTCCCGTCTAGCATCTAAAGAACAGCTTTTAAAAACTCTATCGCATCATCCATGCCCTCAGGTGAATTGAACCAGTGTCCTCCACTCCCATACTCCCTCCAAGTCACATTCGCTCCAAGACCTTTCAGAATCTCACACTGCCTCCTGCCCCAATCCACCAACACCAACGGATCATCGACGCAATGTTCCAAGAGCATAGGCGTGTTCTTGAGAACGTCGCTGTGCGTCGGGGAGGAATCTAGTTGAAGTGTCTTGCGCATCTCGTCGAGTGATCGCCCGGCAAACGGACAACGACCGCTGAAGCCAATAAAGGCGCCCAATTTTTTGTCCGGGGTCGGGATGTCGAGATTGAACAAAGTGTGCACGCTTGTCGCAGAGCCCATGCTGATGCCCATCAAAATGACCTTATCCCATCTCCCGTTCAAGTCATTTGCTTCTTTGGCCAGAATATCGCGAATCTTGGGCACGACTTCTTTGAGCCCTTCTGCCTGGAGATCTTCATTTTCCGCCAAATCCCTCACGTTCCAGACATCGAACCACTGGTTCCATACGTCGGGTGAGCTGGCGCATTTTCTCTTTGGTGCTTGAGGTAATACCCATCGAAAAGAAGGGAAAGCGTCGGCGAGTGTGCGGCCTTGGGAGTCGCGCGAGTATTGCAGCGAGCTACAGAAGTTGGCAGCGTTATCGCCGCGACCGTGCAGGAACACGACAGTGTGAGAGTGCCTTTGGCCTTGGGCTGGCGGCACTGTGATGCTTGCGAGAGGAAGAGAGCCCATTGCGTTAATGAAGAGAGGAGACTCGATAATGAAGTCGCTGATGAAGTGAATGTCACGAGAGGCAGTTGTTTATAGGTAGGTGATTGATGCTGCCTGGAAGAGGGTGGCCCACTTTAACGCACAACCATCCAATGATGGCATCTTTCTTACCGCGCGACATCCACCCTAGACAACCTCTTCTCTCAACCAATTCGCTATCAGTAGCTCCAACAGTATCTCCCATTATAACACTACAAGATACTGTATATCAGCCAATGATACAGATATCTCAGCCAAAAGCAACATAATAGGCAACAGTGAGCGCAACGAGTACTTTGCCCGTTCGTGCTGTCTTGGCGTCCTTTACCTCTATGGCCTGGGGGCTGAAACCTTTTTTGATCTCTCAACCTCATCACAGCCAAGGGTACAAAAATCATGAGCCCTTCGTCGCCAGACGTACACAAAGCACTCGACTTCGTGGATCATATCTCACTTAAGCATCCGGCTTCAGCTTTGTTACGCGCCTACATTCTCGAGGCCGTTCAACCGCAGGCGGCTGCTGAGTACCTGCAGAGCAGGCTGAGAAGTGACGGACATGCTGGTTCTCTCGTTGGTGACTGGATTTATGTTATTGACTCAGGTTAGTATTTTTTCTCCGCTTGAGAAAACGCCTCTCACTTACTCAACCGCATATAGTTTCTGTCGTTTGTATATACCCTCACGTCTAACGTCAAGACCAGCCACGTATCATGAAGCTCCTAGAAGCATTCTTTGGCACCCAATACTTCAATTGGTGGCGTTTCTTCATAGACAGAGCCGAGATATATTCACCTTATCATACTCACTGGCTCGTCCGCAGAAGCGTGCACGACTCCTTTCAGCGCGGACTCGTCAAATTAATACGATTGCCTTCCTCCATGATCGAGGTAAGAGGCATTGCCCACAAAAGAATATCAGGCCAAATAACCGTGTCTAGTTCAGAGTTGAACATGTTCGTATTGATGATGAGCGACCTATCGATGTGAATGGCCCTATTGCTTTGTTGGGTGACCATTCACGCCAGGGAATCGAGAAGCTCGATGCACGGCTAATTGGTTCACACGCCCGTTTCTCTAGAAGTATCCAGCTAGTGAATCTTGCAAGTACCATCGCCCCTGGTCTGTTCTCTGAGCCGAAAACCACCAAACATGCCCCCCAGCAGCAGTTCACGGTCCGCATGCGTTCAAGTAATCTTGGCCTGGGACACACGTTCGTACGCCCAATAATGCTGTTGTGGCGGTTCCTTCCATCCAAAGTTCGTATCGCGGCATACGATCTGTTGAGAAAACTGGGAAGCAGCTTCTACGGAAAAGACGGGGATGCGCAGGTTCAGAGGGTACCTTTTGGACTATACCTCAAGTGTAACTCCAACCCGGATACCCTGAGGAACGAGTATAATGCCCTCAAGGTCTTGGAAGAAAAGACAAGCATTACTGTGCCACGAGTCTTTGATATAGTGTCTCAGACCAATGACGAGGATGATTTGAGTTATCTGCTCATGAGTAGGGTTCCAGGCACATCATTGGCGATATGTCGGGATGCGCTTTCTGACCAAGACTACGCCAACCTCTCCATCCAGCTCAAGGATTGTGTATCACAAATGCGGGAAATTCCCAAACCGGCCAATCATGATATGGCTATCTGCAATACCTTGGGTGAGGCCTGCCGCGATCCGCGAATTCGAGATTGGTCTCCCATCGGACCCTTTCCAGACGAAGCGTCGTTTAGCCAAAGTCTACGCTTCTCAGACGAGCCCAGCCGGCGTGGACACAAGATTTGTTTTACCCACGGAGACCTCAACCCTCGCAACATTATGGTGGAACGAATTAGCAATTCTGCTGAAGTTAGAGGATGGCGGTTAAGTGGAATTATAGACTGGGAAACAGCAGGATATTATCCTGAGTATTGGGACTACACTAAGAGCATGTTTGAAAGCTTTCGGTGGCCAAGGAGACATAACGGAATGATGTCAGACGTGTTCAGCGAGTTTGGTGATTATAGCGAGGAATTGGCCGTAGAGAGGCGGGCTTGGGAGTCAGGAGACGGAATTTGATCAACGAATGAATAGAGTGCAATGACTGTAACTAGTTTAAAATGACCCATATGTTGAATATGCCATTTCACCCCCATATCCCCCACCTGGATCTTGTCTGTAGCTCATGTAACCTTCTTAGGATGATATCATGAGCAAGCTTCATGAAGCGTATGTCACTAGACGATGAAAACGGCAACAACGCCATTGAGGGTACCAATGCATTCGCCATCAACGACATTGCCCGTGAAAGGACTACTGCCATCTGGGTGGTTGCTGAACCCACGGACTGCAGGTTTCAGAGTCAGAATATGCGACAAAAAAGATGGAAGGTGAGAAACTCACAAGCGAGGTTGTCTCCGTTGGAGTTGACGAACAGACCACCACGAGATCCTGAGGGACCACCGCTATGGAATGTACCGCCCTGGTTAGGGTCAAAGTCGATGAAGCGGGAGCCAATGAAGTTCTGGCAGCCAGTATCAGAGTAGCTACGCTTTAGTTAGGTCAGGAGACACGTTGTACTTAGTGTAGGCAAACTAACAAGTTGACCTGGACAGACGCAGCCATGGCCATGGTGGCAAAGGTGGCAACTGAAAGAAGGCTAACAAACTGCATGTTGAGATAAGATTGCTTGATTGATGAGCTTTTGTGGATGTAATGTATGAGTCTGTATGAATAAGATTGTGAAGTGTTGAGGGTCATGATAAGGCCAGGGAGCCGCGAGCCTTTATATACCTGTGAAGTTCCATCACATACGCCAATCTTTCCAACAATAGGCCACAGAGGGCTCAACGGAGACTATGCTGCACCGAAACCAACACAACTACGAAGGAACGTAGTCATAAGCGGAAAGTCTTACATCCGAGCCACCGTTCAGTCACAAAAACTCGTAGCATGAAGTCATACCTAAGAGAGGAGGCGAGGCCCCTAGCAGGCTTCTCAGGCGAATATCGCTGTAGGACTTACAACTGACAAAGCACCGTGCGTATGTCTGTGTGGCCATGCATGAATGCATTGAGACTGGGGGTCTGCGGACTCGGCAACCATCAGAGGTGTCAGGAGCAGTTGTCGTCTGCCATCGTACTCGTTATTGATCCAAATGCTAGCATACGATGGGCTGAACGCGCGGCTCATTGAGGTTCCTGTTCCCATAACTCTAATTGGCTCCTCATTAGTGAGAGTGTTGAATGGTGAACGGAAACCGGCACTGGTTACGCCCCCATGCTGGTTCAGGAATGACTACATAGGGTTGGGTCTATGCTGCGATAGCTATGAAATTACAACGTTGTGTTTGTAAGCAATCACTGTTTGACGACAAAGAGGGAAGCTGGTACGAGGGCAACTTTCCCATTTGCCAAGACCATCTTCGGATGATAGAGAAAATCTGGGGTTGAATGCCGTGTAAGCGAGCATAAGCAGCTGCAAACTGAAGGCAGAGACCCCAAACCCACCTCTTCCCGTCACTTGCGGCATGCCTCCGCATTCTGATATACCAATTACAAGATATCACAGATCGATGTATAAGCGGGGAACGTAAGCGGTGACGACCTATAGGTGGGAGGGGAAGCGGCCCGAGACGGAACAATTAAGCGGAAATGATGGTGACATCGGAGATTTATGAGGTAGCAAAGCGGGTTTATTATTAACTCCTCCGTAAGAACTCCGCGTAGGGTACTCTATCGTAACCTGGTGCTTTCTCTACGGTGATAGTCATGCTACCTAAGAATCGTAATACTTAAATACGTGAGTAGATATCTTTTCTCCCTTCGAATCATATCTTTGAGGCAAAACATTGAAGAGGCCATCCGCGTCCCGAGGCTCATAGTCCAGTGTTGAGGCAGCCTGAACAAGTACAGGCAGACCATAATTCTCTTTGAGCCAATAGGCCACCATATCCATGGCGGCAACAGCACCAGATCCCGTCCAGATGTTCCCATCAATGATCCATTTCTTCTCCCTTGTCCAATTGACCTGAGGCCAGCGATTGCGGACCCAATCAAATTCGATATTGTTGACAGTAGCTGTCTTCCCGTTTAAAACCCCAGTCGATGCGACAAGACTTGCCCCAGTGCAGCTTGTAAACAGCAACTTCCCGGCAGCGACATGTTTTCGGATAAAGCCGGCATGCTTCGGGTGCAAATCGAAGTTCCCGAGGTAGGGTCCTGGAACAAGCAAGATGTCAAGCTCAGGACAGTCATCTACAGTGGCTGTAGGGATGATAGTCATCTGGCCGGTGCCGAGCTTAACGGGGTCTCTTGTAACGCCAATATGGTGGAATGTGAATTGCGGCGCCTGTGAGATGAGTTCATCGCTAACGGGGCCGTACTCTCGATTAATGCGAAATGCCGTCTTGTTGGCCGAGTTGAGGAGGTCCATGGGCCCGCTGGCATCAATTACTTGATAGGCAAAGGCCAAAATGCCAAACTGAACGGTAGCCATGACTGTGGTCGATGAAAGATATATGCCTCAGCATATGTTTGGGTAAGTTGATAAATAATAGAAAATTGATAGGACTATGGTAAGGCCTATTTATGGCCAAGACCGCTGTAGGGTACCATATTGAATGGGGCTGATGATAACGTGGATGTTTACAAAGTTTCCACCAGCGACTCCAGGATTACAAATGGTCCGGGTGCCTAATATCCGTGATCGTTCGGATACAGTCCTAGGAATCAGTTGGAGACTTTATTGTTTTGCCATTCCTTCCATGCAGATCGATTTCTGCTGGAAAAGCGTGTTGAAGTCAAATGGTACTGGCAAGGAGAACTGTTAGACTTAGCAGACATTTTTACGATCTTGTGTATAAATCTTACACGATTTGCGCTGGGCTGTGTTTCTAGTTTGATATATACGACGCACTTGGTCTGGCAATTGAGTAATCTATGAACAGTTGTTGGGTGCAACAACGTGATATATATCCGAACGGCTTCGGATACAGCGCCGGGAACCTCGGCAGCCTTTGAATGAGAAAGTTTGATACTAAAAAGTCGCTTACAAAATCTTGAGAAAAAGATCATCTTCTGAGTTACCAAAGATGGAGAGAAGAGCTCTAACGTACTACCTTTCAACATGGTTTGTCTTGTCGGCAGAAGGGCGCTGATTACTCATATGGATTACTCAACGCCCATGACGTCGCCAGGATTACTCAATCAACTTTCTTGGTGCCCTGTCAACATAAAGGAAAATCATCAAAGCTTTAGAACACTCGTTAAAGATGTAAGGTGCTTATAAATCAGAAAGGACGGTGAGCGAGTATCTGAGAGGGTAAAATCATCATAGAATGGATGTATAAGAATGTATTATCTCAAAATTAAGTTAAGCGCCCATTCAATCTGTATTTCATCACAAGTCATCATGCGGTGCCTTTGCGTATTTATCCTTTCCGTCGGCCCTCTCCTTTGTGCTGCTTCAGAGCCGTTCTCGCTGCCAAATGTCAATGCTACCTTTGCCACGAGTCCTAAGCCATTCCAGATTCATATTGAACGAGACTTCATTGAGGAAACCCGTCAGCGGGTTGCTCATACAAGGTCACCATTGTTCATAAATGTGTCAAGCGATGGCCCTGGTGTTGAGAACTTCACAAGCGTTCGTGATTTCTGGGTGAATGGGTATGATTGGAATGCGACGGAAGCTTCTGTCAACAAGAGGTGAGGATCATACCAACAGATATTTTAGCACTGATCACTGATACTTTGCAAAGACTCAAACAGTTTACGACCATTGTTGAGCCTGAGATCGACAACGTCACTCAATCTGTACCGCTACATTTCGTCCATCACCGCTCAACTAGGCCTGATGCCATACCATTGCTGTTCATTCACGGATGGCCAGGGTCCTTCCTTGAAGTCGGTAACATTATCGGAGATCTGACAAACCCACCAAATGCATCTGTACCAGCATTTCATGTCGTTGCGCCTTCGATCCCAGGCTTTGGATTCTCTCCCGCACCGACAAAGCCGGGCTTTGGTCCCGCAGCGGCTGCTTTTGCATTCAATGAACTGATGCTTCAGCTTGGCTACTCCAGATATGTCATTCAAGGAGGAGATTTTGGTGGCGTTATCCTCCGCTACCAGGCCCACCATTTTCCAAAGAACGTGATCTCGGCACTCAGCAATTTCTGGATTATCCAGCCGAGCAATAACGACCTTCGCCGACTGGCACAGGGCGAAGCCACGCCTGATGAAGTTGCGTACATCAAGATTATAGAGAACTATGAGAACCAAGGATCTGGATACCGACTCATCATGTCCACGGAGCCTCTCACCCTCGCATATGGTATGACGGACTCACCACTTGGAAACGCCATGTGGATGTATTCGATCATGAGTAGGGTCATTGACCCGGCCATCATGGCATGGACTCCCGAGGAGATCATTACTTGGTCCATGATGTATTGGATCCAAGGTCCATACGGGGGCATGCGGTTCTATAAGGAAGTTCAAAATGATGGGGGTTTTGAAACACTAGACTTTGGTACCCTGCCCCTGGTTGAGGTCCCAGTTGCTATCAGTCAATTCCCTTACGACTTGACATACCGTATGCCACTGGACTGGGCAAAGCGGGGAGGAAATGTTAGAAAGAGAACTGTACATGACCATGGAGGCCATTTCGCTGCTTACGAGGTCCCTGATCTGCTGCTCCACGATATCTGGTCTTGGTTTGGAGATAAGGAAGTTTCAGGAACCAAGGCATTCAACTAAGCCAATTCATCAAGCAACAACAAATGCCTGAATAGTCATCAGTATCTCAAATAGATTAGTCTATCATATTCGCAATCGAACTTTTGGATAATTTCCATGACTAATAAAGTGTTTCTTTTTGTGAAGTCTTATCATGATGCGGAGATGACATCCCATACTTGCCTCGAGGCCAAGAGTAATATCGAAAAGCCAGGTACCATCTGCACCACTCGAAGTAACAGATCTTATTCAGGGGACTCTCAGCCACAAGAAACCTGGGGAGGTTACTGAAACACGGCTGACTATGCGGTATTAATTTGCTGGAATATTCTAGACATTACTGCTAAGCCAGTTGGCTTTATGCTGTAGAATTTGGTCAGTCATTGTGGTATAATATCAAAGTTGCTAGCTAGATGTGTTTTTTGCAGTTGGGACCTATGGTCAAGAGCTTCACTCCGCAGTAAGAACTCATTGCTAAAGCATATATAATATTAATTGAAGGTATTAGAGAGGAGAAGTTTTTGTCCAAGTATCTATAGATCTAAGAATAAAATGCAACATTACTTTTCACACTTTCTAGAACAGCTCTTTCTCTTCCCAGAAGTCCAGGCGACTAGACTCTCAGTAAGAGTCTGATATATATAAGTGAGTCGTACCTTGCCAGAATCCAGACACCATCTGCCTATCTTGATTTGTTGATATCGTAGAGGAAGGCCATTTCAACTTAAGATCAGGTAGCGAACTTGCTGAGGGCTCGTAGCTTCGCACCATAGAAGAACAAGATCCACATGCCAAAGATGCCAATGACGCTCAGACCTCCCAGAAGGCTTGTGCCTTTTGCAAATCCAAGATTCTTGTAGAGCGGATGAGCAAAGAGAATACTGCCACTGGCTAAGGCACTTCTAAAGAAGTCGTTCGCGGCGAATAAAGAAGCAGAATATTGAGGGTAGGTCATGGGGACATAAAGAAACACTACTTGCAGCACTGTGAAGATTGAGCCAGCATAGATCGTTACTCCGATGACTGGTACGATCCAGTGTATTGACGCCCTAGCCGTCCATGCAAATATGAACAGGCCAACAGTCGGGCCGAAGCAGGCAGCAAGCCCAGGCGTGAGAACTTCTTCTTGTTGAGCGATGCCAGACTTCTTCATTCGTGGTATGAGCACGTAATATAGATATAGGCCATAGAGAATGATAGCCAAGATGCATCCAACGGCGATACAAATGAAGACAAGACCAACTTCTCCAAGAGTCATGCCATAATAAACGGGAAAGACTAGTGGGAAAACCTCGAAGTCTATATGGTCAGATTTGAATGGAGAATAGAGGCACATACAACTTACAAGAGTAGTATATGGCGTAGAGGATAGCCGAGTATATTTGTACAAATAAAACTGCTGGATCTTTGACGGTGATCTCTAGGGGCTTGATCAAGGCCTCTACGGCTATACCCGAGATTGTAAGATGTGCCTGATCGATCTCACTTTGGGATTGAAGCTTCTGACTACCAGTCAATCGGCGCAATCTCTCAGCGCGGCGAAGGAGAATGTTAGGCGCGCTAGTTTCTGGCATGAAGATGAACAGAGCGATGAGTACTGGCGCTGAGACCCAAATCGACTCGTATAAGGACCAACGCCACCCTTTTGCTGTAACGGCATATGCACTAATCAAAGGTCCAAGGGATGCTTCGGAGCAATTAGTATATCGCCAAGAAAGCCAAACTTGACGAAACACTTACGACCACACGACATAGCACCAACCCAAGCAATCATAGCGAGGGGCATATGTATCATCCCGTACATATCACCCAAAGACGCACCACCCGAGGCTAAACATGGAGATCCAAAGAACCCCTGCAGAAATCGTAGGACGATGAGTCCTGCAAACGAATCGACCAAGGCGGTTGGAATCGAAATGACAACGAAGATACCGAAGGTGATAATGTAGACGGGATTGCGACCGATACGAGGGATTTCTCCGAGGGGAGAGAACAGCAACGGACCTATACCGTATCCTAGAACGTACATAGCCAGACCGAGTGTTGCCTCAAGGTTGCTGACTCCAAACTTCTCCATAACACCCTCGACAGAGGGTGAGTATATCGCCGAACTGAGATATACAACGAACGTGTAGAAGCATATGATCAAGCCAACAAGGGCACGACGTAGGCTCGACCAGTTCTGCGGGTTTTCGGGGTCTTGGTCAGAGTACCAGTCAACTAGAATGATCCCGTTCTCAGTAACATTGGGCGTGGTGTCAGCAGGCCCGTCAGCGTCTAAGACTTTGCTCTCGAGATCTTGGCCTTCCATGATATTCTGATCGGGTATCGGATTAACGATGGTCGAGGGGGTGTCTGTTCCAGTATGGCATACTGTTCTGACATCGGCACTATTGAGTATGTCATTCCAGGCAGCAGGTAGTTCAAACTCTGGATATTCATCTGGATATTTGAAGAGGCGATTATTGGTAGCGAATCTGAGAATTTGTCCCAGCGGTGCGTCTCGGATCGTGTTGAGAAGAGAATCGGCGGCGCTCATGGTTCCTGTCTGGTTGCCAGTCTGGCCTTGAAGGAAGATAAATACGTAGAGATAAATATCGTTGCAGAAATTCCGAGGACAGCAAGAGTTGAGTCGATATTTAATTATGATTTCAACTTCTACGCTACATAGAATACCGCTTAGTGTACAACAACAGTCCCACGTTATGTAATGGTATCCGAGTCAGTAACGTTGAAGTCCATCATGCCGATTATTGTCAA